ATTTTTGCACATTGGAAATGTTCAATTCACGGCAACCAACAATGCCGAGTATAGTTTTTGAATCTAAATGAGTCACAAGTAGCGGTTTTAAATGAAACCCAGCCTATCTTTTTTTTTTTTTTTTACAATGCATAGCTATCAAAGAGAGTCTGTTCAGCACCGGAGAATTTACAGATGGCACAAACCTAAATACTGAACAGTCCTCCCCCCCGACTGTGATGGGAATATGCATACATCATGTTGCCTATTGAATGGTGAGATGACTTTAATGTGCAGCTTTTTAAAGTGTGTTCACATTATCCTGAAACTGCAGGAGAAGTTGCACATGCTCATATAGTGGGAGCTTAAACTTGCATGTCTCTGTATGCCGACTCACTGCCTCAGTGTTGTTGTTTTTTTTTTTTACTGTAGACGTAGAGTCACTAATGAGATGAGGAGGCCCATGATCAAACATGCAGAGCTTTTGAAATGAAATAAACTTGATGATACTGACTTGTGGAAAGTCTTGTCTTTCAACTAAACCATCAGAAGTGATTAATTAGTGCTAATTGGTGGTGCATTAGTGAATATCCAACCTGCCAATCATTTAAAAATTATAATTTTACTCTCATGTGCTCTGGTTGGACATTATTTCAAATAGCATGCACATTCAGACCACTGTCTATAACTTTTGGCTTTTTTTTGGCTCACTGCTGTCTCATATTTAAGCAATTACCTGAGTGTCTGTGTCATTTCCATTTCTACGTTTTAGAGTTGGCAACAAAAAGGTGTAGAGACGCAGTAGGGAATCAGCAATTGTGCATCAGACATCAATGGCCTAATGCAGGGGTCTTCAATGTTTTTCAGGCCAGGGACCCCCAAACTGATAGAGAGATGGAGCAGGGACCCCCGACTATATATATTGTATAAAATTGTGTTTTATATTAAATGGGCCTAGTGCCTTGTATACCTCTTTATTGTACATTCAATACTAAGCTATTCAAATAATACACAGGTTCATATATTCATGTTTTTATTTTAAACATGTGCAAGGTACAGTGAGTAGGGTGGCTGTGCCACTGCCATTTATAAACATACCTTGTCAACTGATACCAATGCCAACATCAACATTGTCTGTCAATTGCATGATAATCATGCATACAAGCTATTCAAATTGATGTTTTAATTTTAAACAAATGTGGAAACGAAAATGAGTGATGGCCTATTAGTGCCACTGCCATGCATAAAGATACCTGTTATCTTTCATACAATACTGAACTATTAAAATAATGGACAGATTCATGTTTAGAGATTTATTTTTATTTTTTTAATTGTCTAATCAACCAAAAATTTCACGGACCCCCTGCAGTACCTCCGCGGACCCCCTAGGGGCCGCGGACCCCCTGTTGAAGACCTCTGGCCTAATGGTATAAAATGAGTCCCAAACTATTTTACACATCATGAAACATTCTTGCATGCAACATCATTAAAACATCATTTAGAAAAAAACAAAAAGATGTATTTGCAGAATGCGACTAAAAATGGTAAATGTCCCTCTGCTATGGTTTGTGGTTGTGGTGTCACTGCAAAGGGGGCCGCATTGACTTCGCTGCATACCGATGATGGGCTGAAGTGTGCAATGAAACGGGGCTGAATGTCAACTCATCTGCATGTCGCAGTCCTTTAGCCGCTGTCAGGTCTTCTCCGTTCATCCTATAGGGTGACAGTCACCTTCATGCTGCATCAGGGAACGGCACAGGTGGAGGACGGACGTTTATGTCAACCTGTGCGACTCTTAATATTCATCAAGTTTAACATCCTGGGAATATTAGTGGGTTTTGGGTAAATGACTGACTTTCCTCTTGAGGAGGCTGGCATCCCAGTGTGAGCACAGAATAAAGTGTGACTTATTTTCCACTCCTTTTACCTTCCTCCTTTCTTCTGAATCACCTCGCCTTTGGGGCTTACCACAGGAGTCTCTTCAAATGATCCTTAAGTCTGAAGTGGAGAATCAAGATTAATGCACTTTCACGTCCCACCCACGCTCCAGGGGGGGAAAAAGTCTTATAATTAACACCAGGGGGCTGCAGGCTGCTTTTGGAGAGAGGTCGAGGGTGGGGTTCCTCGACCGCAGAAAAAGAGCTGATAAAGGTGTGAGGCTTTTAGAGGGTGATGTGTCCTGTTGCTTTGGAATAATAGTGGAATGGTAACAGAATGGCCTGTCAGAAAACTCACTCTGGCTTATTATTATTGGAAAAAAAGTGGAGGGGCCTGTAGCAAGAGCTGCAGCACATCTGCATCATTGTTGGTCCACTGTGACACGCCCATAACATGACAAGCGATATTAAAAAGGGCGCACCGCTCTGGCTTTCCATTGCAACGTCAGTTGTAACTTTACAACTTATAATACAGTCTCCCACATTGCAGGATGTTTTTTGTGTTGTTTACTGAACATTTTTGGATCCTTTTAAAGATGTGGGTCTGTCACCTGATGCCATTGTGCCCAATAAATGAGAAATAACCTGACATGACAAAAGAAAAGGAGAGAAAAAATAGACTGGCCTGTAAATACCTGTTATGCCACTGTCAGATGTAATGATCTAAATAACCTACACCTACCACTGCCTGCCATTATTGAATGTATTTATTAAATTCCTTACCGCATGCTTTCAAGCTTTTACTGGCATAGGGTTGTCTCCCTCTCCATTTTGTATCAAAAGAATTGTTCATTTTGTGTCACTGCATGCGAGGGAATGTTAGTTAGCTGACAGTGGCAAAACACGTTTGTCTCTACCTGATGTGTCCCAATTGGTGTAGTGATATTCAATGTTTTGTTTCAATTACTATGTTTTACTATGAATTATTGAGCACGTTTAGATGTAAATATGAATAATTACCCCAAAACCGTTTTTAATTTCTTATCCAACTGTTTGGCAGTACCTACGCAGCCCACTAGATGGCGCTCTGAGGCCCACCAGTTGTTGAGAGTACCTAAAATACGAGATTTGTTGTAATGTAAATGCATCCATAAAAGCAGGTCTTTGAAGTATCATTTTCTATTCTTGCACAGAGAAATTGTCACGGTGTGTTTGATGATCTGGTAATGATCTTTAAGTGTCACCGAGTTCAGCTTCTTTCTCGTTATCCTGAATACTTCTCCAAGGTTATTCCCAAACATTTACTTTCATAGTCCCATGCCTGCTGTTTGTCTTTGATAGTTACTCAGATTGTTGTTGTTTCTGTCTGTGTCAAAAAGCAGCAGGCCTGCTGTTTTCAGGTGTTATGTTACACAAGTATATAAATATCAAAACAGGGCAAAGTTACCGACGGGGAGAATGAAACATGAACACGTACATTTCAATGTAAATGAGGAAAGAAATGGGCACAGTGTGGATTTACAACGGTCCGTTAGATTGAATCCACTGTGCCGCTGTATCTTTCACGTGAACAATCTCCTATAGCCCGAGCAAATTAGTGTGCAATCTCGTGTACCAGCTGTAAATGAATCCGTCCATCAGCTTGTGTCTCAGGTGATGGAGAGCAGCAATGGTCCTGCGCTGCCTCGGCTGCTTTGGATTCTCAGACGGAGAGAAGCTGTTTGTTAAACACTTAAGTTGGAGTTTACTTTCTGATTGCCTGTGTTAACAATCCCAGACAAAATCTTTTTTTTCTTTCCTCTCAGGGTGGTTGTTTTGTAAGATTCTAAATCACTGTGCTGCAGATGTTCATCCAGTTTCTCCGTACAAGTCTTTCATTTCACCTCTGACCTCTGGACTCCACGGCTAGCGAGACTCCTCTTCGAAATACAGATCTTTAGATCTCTCTTGGGGGAAACTAAGGGTATTCGAATCTGATGAAAAAATGCATGTGTGAAAAGTGTGTTGTGTTCGTTTGGGTTGATGGATAAGTTGGCAAGTCGGATTACCCTCTGACAGGGAGCGAATGGAAGCCAGAGAGCAATTTTTAAATGTAGCGCTGCTCCGTAAAACAGATATTCTTCTGCAAGTGTTGCAATATGCAAAGACTTGAATCATTTAGAATGACAGACTGTTAGCAATTCCCCTTAGGGTTTTATGTAGGATTTAACCACATCACACCAGCCTGTCATGTGTAAAATGTAATAAAGGGATGATAATGATTAGGAGGCAGGAGAAGCTCACTAGCAGAACTATTTTTGTATTCTCTGAGATGAAGAATTAGGATAGACACAGCGAGCGCTTCAAGCACGAGGATACATGTGCGAAGAGACAAAGCTATTCAAGTTTACAGTACATCTAAATCAAGAGTGTATTCATGACAGGTTTAGACAAGTGCAGCTAAGGTCTTAATGGGATACAGAGAATGAGCAGGGTGTTTATGCTGGATATCTCTCCAGGAAGCGCAACTTAAACGATCCCAAAGTTTACTGTTTTCATTTAGAAGTCCAGTCGCATGCAGTCACAGCTGACCGACTTGAATGATGCATCTAAAAGCCGAACCTCCAAGCATACAGCCAACTATATTGCTTTTAAAAGCTTCAAGTAGGAGAGCTTCATGTGTGACATAATTAAATTCCACCCAAGTTAATTCAAACTGTTTAATGATGCAGGGAGAACAATTTCTTTCGCTGTGCCAGCGGTGGGTTGGTCCGCGGGGGCTACGAGTGAGGAGAAGCATTAGAAGTTCAGAAAGACACTTGTGATACGGAGGGGAGGATGTGCAGACGGAGACAGACTTGAAGGTTGCAGCATCCTTGGAAAACGCAGCTTCCTGTTGGTGTGATTGTTCATTTTAATAATGCCAAATTTGCTTTGTTTATTGTTTTCTTCATTATTTTACCCTTATTTAGAAAGATGATAGTAGACAATTATTAGTAATATGCACATGAGACCAGATTTTAGTGGTGGGAGTGCCTTTGATTTTGTTGTTGGTTAATGTAACCATCCTGCAGTGTTTCATTATTTTTCAAAGCTAATAACCTCTCTCCGACGGTGAACAGCCTGACATTATACGTATTGCGTTTTTGTGTCCTTTTTTTCCAGGAGTCGGGGCTAGACGGCGGGGAGGAGATGAGACTGGCAGGTAATCCCGCTCCATCTATCCATCAACCTGGAGACTATTTCCAGCGTCCCCTACAGAATGTCAAAGCCTCGCTGAGCAGCAGATGAGTCCATCATCCTCTTTCTCAGACTTTCCCTCAAGTTTCCATCAAAACACATAAACACATCATGTGCCATTATTTTCTATTGCCATCCCTCCCCCTTTTTCTGTCAATGGAGGGTCACGGCAGTGAGTGAACACAGTTGAGTGGGGTGCCCATATGCAGCATGCAGAAGAGAAGCTCTGTTTGAAACCCACAGGATGTGACAGGATCCTTCCTCTGTCGATGACATCACACTGTATGGGCTGTGATGGGGGTATGTGTCAGAGATCTCCTGCCTAATAGGAAGTGAGACAATTAAAGAGATGACCCCGCCTCGGTTGCCATCACTGTCTCTCTGCCAGAGAGGGAGCTTGGCTCTTCCATTACTCCTGCACTTGCTAATTAGCGTCTTTCGCTGGAGTAACTTGTGCCTGTCAGTGTGTGCCGTTCTCCTATATTCAGTAACTTGAGGGAATTGAAATTGAATGCCAGCTAAGCTCCAACAAACTGCAAATGGTGCATGGGATACACCCTGATTCTCTCACTGACCCGACAGCCTTATATGTAAGAAATTGTTTTTAATGAACACAGAGTATCTCCGCGGGTTTTTTACTGCTGGTGTGGAACGTTTCATCTGTTCCAGACAAGCGGATGTACTGGTTGTTTTATTGCATTTCTTTAGGTACTTAAACAAGTCCCTGTGCCATATGTCCATGTATGAATGCCAAAGCCATTTCTGTTCCAGATAACCCAGTGCCTATTTACATTAAAGAGACATGGTGAAACTGCCTGGTCATTGGTAATTATTGGTCCCATTCTCGGGGCCACTTTGTGCTTGTTCGGGCAGAACAAGGTCGAGTTTATTACAGACATTTCTTCACCCACAGGATTAGCCATGCTGCTCAAATTCACCCTTCCACTTTTCCATTAGTTGATTTATCTGCCGACTAGACTATTCTACATAATGAGTAAAACATGAATTATGGTCAAAGCAACACAAATAATTCATTTCCGTGCAGATCAACACTGACATGTTGAATTGTTCCCAGTTAGACGCAGTCCTATTTTAGGGCTAATCCCTCTCTGTTTGCAGATGCTCAGTCATCCCAAACATTTTACTTGTTTTGAATAATGGATTTTCTCTGTGATTGTTTGTTGCTGTCATATGTGAAATAGCTACCTTGCATCAAGTCTGACTTGTATAAGTAGTGCAGAAATACCTCCCCAACACACACACACACACACACACACATGCACAGGAGCACATACTGTGTCCTCTTGCTGAGCTGGATGAGACTGTTGATCAAACCCCAGGCTGTGCCCAAATGTGCAGATCTCTCTGTACAGTAGCCCTTGACCTTGCTGTGTGTCCTCGTGGCCCAGACACCCGCCTGAAATTAAATTACCGATTAGTGGCTCCAGGCCCAGAGAGGGGGTTTATTTGGTTGGCCCCTCTCTGAGAAGCGCTCATTTCTGGGACTGAAAAAAAATGTCGTGGGATTTAAGGAAGAAAATGCCTGAAAAATGTCTGGAAGACATTTTCTTCTGACTGTGAGCACTGGAGCCAATGGTCCCCTAAAATGGAAAATGTCTGCAAAGACTTCGAAATCTTACATCGCAGTTAAGAAGGGACATGGGGCTAGTGTAAATTTGGGATTTGGGAAATGTGAAAAAAATGGTTTCTTGGAAGCAAAAGAAAAGTAAATTAGAAAGAAAACCAAAGTCGAACTGAGGGAACTCTGATGAAACAGAAGCTCACTGCTGAATGAACACCTTGGGAATTAAAAAAAAAATCATTCTTGTGAGACAAAAGAAGCAAATGCCAAGCCCTCATTAATTTGGAAGTCTGTCAAGCCTTTCACAATCCTTAATTCCAAATTACATTTACTTCAAACAACATTCAGTTACGAGTGACCATCAATTGGTTACTGTTGGCAAGGTGAAGTTAAGACAACTGTCTTAATAAAGTTGTTAAATACAACTTCCAACTTAAAGAATAGGTTCAGATTTCTTACTAAAAAACGGTTGCTCGCTAGACTGTGATCCCTTCATTACCAGAATGGACAGGACTGATACCTATATAAATGCACATATGGGCATGTGACTATTGTTTTAAGGCTTGATTCTTCCACGCTCCCCTGTAGAAGGCAGCACAGCGGCTCTGCGTAGTCAAATGTACATCAGCGTAACAGCCAATGTTACTCTATACTTACAAATTCAGTTTGAATGTGTGCAAATACAAAGCAGCATGCATCACAAGCCTGCTGCAGTTGCCTTCACCTGCCAACTACAGTTCTTCACTTAACTTACTTGACATGCATAATTGGTCTCGCACTTAATGTCACCTCTCACGGACCCGGCCACAAGAGGATAAACATTTAAGATGCTAATGTCACATTTTTATTTAACTATCAAAATAAAACCGTTGGCAGGGTTTCGAGTTGCCCCACAGCCAAGCCTCGGACTACTTCACACACACACACACACACACACACACACACACACACACACACACACAGCGCAACCTTTCACAGATTACATTGTCTCCAGTTCAAACACCCTGAAAGCTGGTAACGGCTTGGTGTGGTGTTTGCATGTACAGGTACAATGCTTACTGGTGTGAGTTCATACAAGTCAGTCAATAAACCCAAACGGAGGCAAACAACAGAGATTTGTCCGAGGCAGCACAAATTCGGGCAAATATGTGTGTGTGCTCACATTGGCTAAAAAAATTAATATGTGCATGTATACCAAGAGACAGGAGTCAACGTAAAACTACTAGCTTAAACTGCCACGCTCATACATACAGGCACACTTCACGCACTACGTTGGAGCATATTATTGGGAACACATCGGGCGGCTATTAGTGGCCAAAAAACACAGACTGAACAAACACTCCAGCTGTCAAATTCACTCAAATAGAATTAGGCAAAAATGTGCTATTAATGCAGACCGGATCAAGCAGTATCTTGGAGCGTGAGAGAACACCAATGCAGCTATTTTTCAGAAATCTCTTCACACTCCACAGAGCTCACACACCCTGGCTCAGACTGTGGTCCAATCATGCAGTAGATTTATATTAGCACTTCTGCTACTCTGCATTTGTCTTGATTTGAACATGAGGTCCCAATAAAGTAGTCACTGAAATGGGGCCAGATGTGCTGCTAAATGTTAGTACACAGTAAATGCTTAGTGTGCTCTTTAGTAAATATCCTCCTTTATCCCCTCCATTTGTTTAGCAGATACTTCAAGGTACGCATGTATACGTACATCCTTTCAATACTACATTAATCATTTCTTTCCCCTCTATCAAAAGTGACCTCAGTCAAATGGAGAGGAAGCAGCTGTCAGCGAGTGGCCCATGTTCTGTTTGGTACAGAACACCTGAGGTCAGTGGCTCTCAGTCCAAGTACTCCACGCCCAGAGCTCTGTCGGTTCTATTCTAGCAGTCTAATCAGGGTCTGTTTCACACCAGGGACAGCAAGTGAATGCAATTGAGCACGCGGCAGTAAAGAAGGAACCAGGACCAGGATTGAAGACCACCATGTAATTGGTTTATTCATGGGATCCTGGGATACTCTATCACAAGTTATCAAGGTGCATGTAAATAGCTTGGGCTGTGGCCAGTAATCAGTTAACTCTGGATGTAAGCGTGGTGTGTAAACACTTACTGCGAATTCTGCTCACTGTGAGCATCCTTGCATCATTTTTACGATCTGCTGGGTTTGTTCACCGCTTAAGGAGAAAACACTGCCAGCATTTTACGCTGTTTTATTTCTCCTGAGGAGGCTCGATAATGTATTTAGTATGCAGAGGCGGGAGCGAACATAAAACAGGCAAATCAACTGAGATAGTGATCCACCATTATGAGGTTTTGAAAGCTGATGCTGTGACCAATATTAATGCTCTAAGAATATTCATGTTACATTTATAATACATGTATTAGTTTACATTAATTAATCCAAGTTTAACTTCATTTCAATCCCAATTTCATTCTAAACATTTTGGAACAATCAGCCATTGACATAACTTCCAGAATAACTGAACTTATTATTATATACTTTTTCTATGGAATAATTGAAGGATCGTTTCAACAATGAGATGATTTGATAGTAGATGACGGGGGATGCCATCCTCCTTGTTCGTAAAATGTTCAAAATGCATCCCCCTTGTTAACCATCCCCCTCTCCATTGGCCATAACCTTAAAAATGAAGCTACAGCCAGGACATGGTTAACTTAGCTTAGCTTAGCATGAAGACTGAAAACAGTTGGAAGCAGCTACCCTCGGTCTGCCCAATGCTTAAAGCCTAGCGGTGCCCCTAAAACTCACTAACTATGGTGATGAAAAACTTCCGGATTGTTTTACCACTGGACAAAGCCATGCTTGCAGTTTCCTTCTGCTTTTATTAGTTTTAAGCCAACAAAAAAGCGAATAAGCGTATTTCCAAAAAAATGTCAGACTATTCATCCAGCTCTTTATAAGGTTACCAAATAAGAAAACTAAAAAGTAATGTGTGACAGAAACATTTTATAAATGGGTAAGACACAAGTAACATGATCATTATAGTCTAACATGGAGTTAAAGTAGTACTAGTGCAAACAACAGAACAAATTCAGACAAATATACCTCCATGTTTCATTAATCACTTTTTTGGTGAGATTACACAAATGAATACATTTAAATTACTGACCTTTAATTATACCTCCTTATTAGGTCAGTAAGTATCATTTGTAGGGATCGTTGAGAAGAAAAGCTGTACGTCGCTACTCGTATATCTTCAAGGACAAAGGAGTTGCTTTCGAGGTTAGATGAAAATTCATTGAGTGAATCACATTATGAAAGTAAGAAAAGAAACAAAAAAAAACTTGAAAGCACATTCATAACACTCTGATCCTCCACCTTGAATGGCAAGCAGCCTTACTGGGCATGAGATGTTGACACAAGGATTTAAGGGAGTAAGAAAATGAAAGTTTCTGTTGGGGGGGCAGACATGCCAAGCTACAATGAAAGAAAAAGAGACAATTGAGGTGCTGAGAATTAAAGCCTCAATCCAACATTTTCAAGAATACCAGCTGTGAATATATACACAGGGATTTTTGTATTGCTTTCAGGTTGCGCTGTCACGTCAGTCCTGTTGATGTCTCTACCGTTACTCTACTGCGTAAAGACAACTAATATTTGCATCGGCGAGATAGAGAATAAGATCATGGATCGGTACGGCACTAATAATGTGGTGGGGGTTTTACTGTCATGATGAAGAGGAGGCTGAGCCTGAAAGAAAAGCTCTTGGTTTAGCAACAGATATCTTTCGAGAGCTCTGAGTAATTCTCTGTAGTGACAGAAAAGATAAGTTTGCAAGTTGAATCACAGCTCAGAGTTGCTCCCCTGCTACTTTGCATCAAAAGATGAGGCGGTATGGGCATCTAATCAGGAAGCCGCTGGGAATCTTCCCCATGGAGATGTTCGGGGCACGTCCAACTGAGAGGAGACCCCTGGGCAGATCAAGAACACAAAGGCCTGGGCAAGTCTTAGGATCCCCCCCCCGAGGTGGCTCGGGAGAGATGCGGCTGGGCCAACAAATCCAGATAAGCAGTGGAAAATGGTTGAGTGGAAAACTAAAGGTTTTGGCTATTCTGTAATGTCAGTTACTGAGAATAAGTGCATTACGTACTGGGTCAGTATGTGCCACGGTTCTTCATCTAGCGCTCCTTTCTCTTAAAAGGGTTTTGAATCTCATTCAACATTATTACTGTAATAATATGACTAAATAGAGCTTTAAAAGT